CATCAGCAGCAGCTATCCTCGCTGCAAAAACGTGCATGGGGATTAAAAAGTTCATTCGTCAAAACCACAGGGAAGCGGCGTTAACATTTCAAGGACAATAACTCTTCGTCCCCGGCGCTGTTGCTTGGCATCATGAGATGTTGGCTAATTGCACACTATCGGTTCACTTTGCGACACCCTTCTGTCTTGCACTATAAGCTAACGCTACAACATGCGAGACCCTCAAACCAACAGCAGTACCGGCGGTGCGCGTGCGTCAAAATTCTCTACTCCCTCCACAAGCAATGCATCGCGAGGAATAGTTGCCGGCACGTCCCCCCGTTCCTTCCCTCTATTGTATGCATACGCTTTGGTTGAGTCTCGTAAATGAACGAATGAACAGCTCTCGAAAGAAGGTATTCCATCGTTCCTTCCGTTCAATCCTAATAGGAGCGATTTACTCAAAACTTGCGTGGAGCTATGCCGGAGTGATCGACGATGTAATGCACGACTCCGACAGCAGGTGCCGTAGCAGACCTTCATCGGTTCTCGGTGGACAGAGGGGTCGCGGGTCGGACATGAACTTTCCATCATAATCTGTGTTTCAAATCACTGGGCACAATTTCTGAACAAATCTCGCATTTACTCCGAAGAGTTCACTTAACCCGACCGTACCTGAGCTATGGGGTGGTGCGCCTGCATCGGTGGACCTGATTGAAGGTCACGCTCTGCATGACCTTGTTCTCTGACACGGGAATGCCGTGGTTGGCTGGCCCTAGAACGTTCGAGAACATGACGATACCAAGCCCACTCATGGCGGTATCCGCCTACATAGTACGATAGGGGGGGTACTCATAGTCGTGCATGCCGTAGTCGTTTGACCATTGACCTCGCATCCCTGCAAAGCCGGGACGGAGCACACCGGGTTCTCACCGGACCAGGCTCTCACATCACCAAGCGCGAAGCGCCGTGAGGTATTTGGCGAGTCGCATGAAGGGTGAGCTGCATCCTGCTAAGGGTGTTCGGCATCTTGTGCTTACTTCCTTGCGTACGGATGACAGCTACGTATGACTTAATTTATTTTCTGGTGCTTTCACTTCCAGAGACAGTTGTAAGCACTGTGTAACTGCCTCGAGGAAGCTTGACCATTTTAAAACAACGTGGTGCGATCATCCCCCGTTGCGCGGAGTGAGGGTTCTCGACCCCGCACAACATGATCTACTCGACCACCATTATGGTTACCGCCAAAAAAAAAACGAGGTAAAAAAAAAAAAACGGTAACCTGGTTGCCGAGTTCACGAAGTGAATTGGCTTGTTTTACACCGTCGTTGCCAAGCGACGAAAACCCAATCCCGATGGCAAACACCGAGTGGGGGGCTTGTTTTACAACGTCGTTGCCAAGCGACGAAAACCCCCCGATGGCAAACACCGGGGGGGGCGGCTTGTTTTACAACGTCGTTGCCAAGCGAGAAAAACCCAACCCCGAGGGGGGGGGGGGGGAGTGGGTGAGACGCAATATATGACGACGCACATGCATATCCCTTCGCTCTGCTATGAATGCTACTGGTGACCTCTTCGTTTCGCATCAGTGGCGCGGCATGGGGGGACCCGCTGCGACCGCCTTTTCTCAGTTGTTGTTGTTGTCTTGACATCGAAAGAAAAACACTTTCCGATGTCTGACACGCCATATTTCTGTATTTTACGGCCAATAATGTTTTCAAAGGGGTACATCGAAATTCCGGAGGAAAAAGAAAGAGACAAAAAGGGTGGTGGGAAGAAAAAATATGGCGCAGAGGAGAATCGAATCCACTGATCTCACAGCACAGCAGTTGGTTGCATAAGATACCACGCCCCCTGGACCAATTTCCAAAGCCTGATTATTCCACACCAGAAGGAGTGGCGAGGCCGGAAATGGCTGCATTGGACCTGTCTCATCGAGAGCGTTTCGAAAAAGGATCGTTTGATTTTCGGAATCGTCTTCGTCGTGGAACATGATAGGTTGAAACTTGGTCAAGGGGGTGTGGTATCTTGTGCAACCTACGGTTACCGTTAATTCTTGCTTTGAACGCGATATATTGCATGCATGTGAACGACCTGTGTCAATCGAGCAACCCATGTAAAACAATTGGGTGTTATGAGCGCTGGGCGTTGGTTGAAGCATGTGGACGGTCGACACGGTTGATGCTATGCATATGTGTGGACAGGTCAGATGCAGCAGACATGCGGGTTTGTTACTGTGCGTTGTTGCTGTTGTCGAAGAAAACGAGCGCCCACCAAAAAACAAAAAAAACGTTGAAAGTATCAAAGTGCCTACCCGCCCTCCAAAAAGCTCTTTTATGAGGCTGGGCGCTTATTGACGCCTCCGGGATAATCCCCGCTCTGTGCATGGTGAGGAAGAGCCGCATACACGCAGTAGGCCGAGAGCCGTTGGGTGTGCAGGACCAACTGCTGGTGTCTGAGCGTATATTCATGCATCTACAGCACGTACGTGGAGACTTCGCGCCCTTCCCAACGGGGACATATACATACTTAGGGATACACAACTACACAACACACAATATTCACTCAATTCATCCTTCTACTGGTACCATCCAGATGTAACTGGAGGGGAATCGATTACCTAATCAGCAACTGCTGCCGGAATGTCGCTCTAGATCTTCTCCACGCGCGCCGTGTGGAGCTCGCCTTGCCGCTATACAGCAGCAGTGTCGTGCGCCGGGTTAGCTCGCGGTGGTTGCTGTGCCCCGAGTCCGAGCATCTAGAGATAGCATAGCTGTTTGCCTTCGTTACGAAAGGAATGACACCAGCTTGGTCGCTATTCGTCTTGGCATGCGGCGGCCTCCGGTCGCCTGTGTCAAGGCTAGCTAGTTCGTCACACCTCTGGTCGCCTGTGTCAAGGCTAGCTAGTTCGTCACACGGGGTGATGTGCAGGGCCATGCAAATGCAATAGGGGGCTCGATGGTTCGGATGCCCCTCACTCCCTCTTCCCATCTGTCTGGCGGGATCTGGAACGGGATCTTGTTGTACCCTGCACAATGTAGCTGGTACACACATAGCACTCGTGAATCCCCGCACACACTCACACAAAAGCCCAAATTGAATGGTGTATGCGTTCATTTAGTACGCATTGTGCCAACGTATCCTGGGCTCTTAGTCTATATCTACATATCTGTATTGGAGACGTTGCGTTTTGTCCAGCCGGAAAAAAAAGAAATTGTAGTACACTGCGAAGCCAGTTTTCCGGGACCGTCGAACCGACACAATCTACAGCCAGGAGGTCTGGCCTTCGGTTGTGACTGCCTCCCAACCTGTAACATCGGTGCTTTCACAACCAGGAGGTCTGGCCTAAGGTTGTGGCTGCCTCCCAACCTGTATCATCGGTGCTTTCACAACCAGGAGGTCTGGCCTCAACCTGTGTGATCGGTGCTTGCACAACTAAGTGGTATGGCCTAACGTTGTGGCTGCCTCGCAACCTGTGTGACCGGTGTTTGCACAACCAAGAGGTGCGGCCTAACGTTGTGGCTGCCTCGCAACCTGTGTGACCGGTGCTTGCACAACCAAGAGGTGCGGCCTAACGTTGTGGCTGCCTCCCAACCTTCCGCATCCGTCCTTTTACAACCAAGCCGTTTGGCCAAGGTTGGGGCCTCCTCCCAACCCCCGTCTACAACCTGCCCCTACCTTATGGATGCCCACAACCCACCCACAACCTGCCCTCTGGCCACCCGTGGAGCGATGAATCTCGCTGGTCGTGTGCACCTTCGCTCGACTCCAGTGGGTGCACCATCACCTACACTCTCGAAGACGAGCAGCATCTCGAAGCTCTGAAGATAGGTGAGGAATATGGTATTCGCCTTTCATTTGGATATAGGGTATACGGTATTCAATTGGCTTCTCAGACGTCGCGGTGTAAAGTGATTTTTGAACATCTTCACTGACGACGGGTAAAATCTCCTTTGATGCTGCGTGGACAGCAGGTTGTTACTTTCCTTTGTTCTCCCGCTGATTGTGATTTCCTGTCACCGTGCATTTAGTCGACACCATGCAGCCGGAATGAACCACAAACCAGACTCCAGAGAAGTACTAAACAGTTGAACAAAGGGCGCATAACTCGGAATAACCACACCTGAATTTTGCCACACTGCCGTTACACAACTTCTGATATCGCCAAATATCCAAGTATCCATGGCAAGGCACCATCATCGCACGGCCACCTCCAAGTACCATAACATCGGAGTGTCTTGAGAATCAGAAAAGGCGGAAGAAAACTCGGTGCAAACACGCTAGCGTGCGTTGTATCTCCGATGTAGAATCCTTTTGTTCTTCGGGATATTGCTGTAGCGGGCGGTTGAGGCGTCGCAAAGACATCATCACTGGATTGGCATGCTCAGAAATCAGATCTGGAATATAGGGAAGAAAACAAATTGTCTACAAGGTACGCCCTCCCATGGTCCACGCGGAGGGAAAGACATACTCAAGCTTGTGCGGGGAACGCATAATATGCCTAGTCATACAGCAGTCCTGCAGATCTGTGTGGAGCAGGCAAGGTTCTTCCGAGACTTGTGTATAGTCTAGGGGGCGAACCAGCGCGCGAATCGCAAAGAAATAGACCCCGCGCGAAATGGTGCCAATTGTGTGTTGTGACTTTGCCGACTTTTGCGTAGGATTTGCGCATATGCCCTGGTGGTACTTCCCAATTCCCCTTCTACAAAAGCGATAGATGGATTCGCGGCCCTTCTTCGTTCGAAATACCCCGGTCCCGGGAGATGTTACAGAGGGAGCGCGAGAGAGAAGGAGGTGGTAGGGGCAGGTCATAGGAGAGGGAGGTCGTAAAAGGGGAGAGGTAGCCGTAGGTTTTCTGTCAACCCGAACCGTTCGCAGGAGCGTTCCCCGATCCACCATGCCAAAACGAAGAAAATAGGACAAGCCCCACAACATTGCTTGCTTGGGCCGGCCGCACGACGTCCTGCTCGCAGCACTGTACCAGGGTGACACACGGACGAGGACCATCGACGTCTCCGTAGATGGTAACTATGCCCTCAGTTGGACGAGCTCGGGAACGACCTCCGACTTCGAAAGCATTGACCTCGGTGTCGATGGTAAGCTGGTGGAGCTGGTCGGTGACCTGCAGGACTCGGAATGGCTCAGCATCCTAGAGGTTGGCACAATTTCGACGTGAAATGTTTTTTTTCCAACATACTGTGTCGAATTGTTTACCCTGCAATGTTCACCGACGGGATGACATCACAATACGCCAAACGCACACACAACCCAGCCATTGTTGCTTGAGGTCGGATGGGTATTGCACAGGGCAGAGCCACATACCATAGATCCGAAGGCGTTCTATTTTTCAGCGGTCAGCACTGGTACACAACCAACGACCCTGCGATATATCGCACCAGTTCGCACAAGTCAAGCACGTGCACTTGCCACGTGCTGAATGCGCAGGTGGAAATACTGGTCGACGATGGCGATGATGGTAGCGAGGTCGATGTGGTGGAGGCCGGCGAACTGGGAACCGTCACGGCTACGGCCGATCTCTACGACGATCGACTCGGAGACACCGTTGGCTGCGACCCCGACGGGTGCACGGCAGCGCTAACAAGGGTAAGGAATCGAACCGACTGCCGGGTACCTAAGCCGATGCTGAAAGCCCCTTGTTCTGTTCCGTTCACGGGACGAAACAAAAGGCCGTATCGGCGGCCTCAACGTGGTTTGGTGGTCCATGGATGATGTTGTGAACGTCCTACGCACGCTTGGGTTGTGCGTAAGCATGCCCCCAAGCCCTGGTTGCTGCCGATATCACGGTTGATGACTCTCGGATCTGATGATGGCCGCAAGCTCTCAGAACGATTCTTACGACTCCACGCCCTTCCATTGGTTGCATTCTTTATCTTCACTTCTCTCCTTCCCGTGTGAAACCGTTTGGTAGGATGGCGACATGTCCGAGGATTCCAGGTGGTCGTGTGCTCCCGAGCTCGGCGGCCTCTGCAGCATCTCTTACGACCGTGGGGCTGAGTACCGCATCGACGAGCTTCAACTCGGTACGCACGAGTCCAAAACACCAATCCCTTCCGGTTCAACACCGCCTAGCCCATCACACCCACATCTTGCTCCTCTCGTAAGGCTATCTTGCTCCATTTTGGTTTCCTGGGGTGAATTTTGAATTCCCGTTCCGGTGTCAACTTTGCATTTACCCCCCGTTCTCTGTAGCCCTAACTGAAACTTGTGATCGCCAAAACCCAAGACCAAGTTGCCAGGCGCTAGAGATGTGGCTGCATGCATTTTTTCTCTGATCCGTGCCCAAAATTGGATCCAACAAGCGTGTACAAGCGAGCAGCCACATGCTGGTCCGCCGTGACCCGCAAATTCACGACCCCTCCCCCCACCCACCCAGTAATAAGTATCGTGAAATGCGCCAATAATTTGGATTGATTTCGCAGGCCCCGTGACGGTCATTGTTTCGCACATGGATGCCACTGGTATAAAATATGCTTCACTGAATATAGTATAGGTGGATGAGAAACGTTAGTTGAGGCGAGGCGTGCACGATCGGTTCGTCAACGATGTCTTGTCAATGTTCTGTCGGGAGTTTATGTCCGCGGTGTATTGATGGGTTGGGTGAGGTGGTTTTCCGGAGGATTATGGGGTCCCAGACCAAACCAAACGTTTGTCAGTTTATCAAGGCGAATTGTTGTTAGTTTTGTTGAAGTGTAGTTTCGTCTTTATAGGTTAGTTGAGACTTCGTTTCGAGGTAAGACCTCCATGAGATCTTTATTTCGTGACCTCCAGCAGTAGAGCATTGTCAGTGGTTTCGTGCAATAAGTTAGGTTAGCGTACCGTACGGCGTTTATTCTGTTTGGTGTTCCAAAACGTTGCCAATTGTGCTTGCTTCTACATGGTGTGGTTCCGACAGGTGATTGTGGTAGCAGAGCACAGGGGCGCACTGAAAACGTCCATCCGGGGCTGTGTGCTTGGTGGCGTGTAAAACCCTACGTCTAAGACGGTCTCTTAGGTTTGGTAAGAATGTGGGAGTTGTAATCCCGCGCTGCGTAGTTGATGGCTACAGGTGAATTTAGGGCCAAACGGAAGACGACCGGAATCGCTCGCTTCAACATCCAAGGGTTCCACATTCCCACTAGGACTGGCATCACCGTCTGGCATCACCGTATAGGAGGTGGAAAGGTCACGAGCCCGTCTGGGAGGCATCCAAGCTTTGTGATGTTCTGCCATCGAGATGCTTAATGCCTTCGTTGACAGCGTTTTGCAAAACCCATCTAGGGACAGCAGAGAATCGTCTTAGTATTCTGTTGCCTTTCCCTCGAGCGCCCAGACGGCGCGACAAAGAAACGCGGTCGGTGACAGGGATGGCATCGCGGTGAACCGACCACGATTTAGGGAAACGACAATAGAATGTCAAAATGGGGAAAATGGTCATTCGTGCGCCCATTCAAAGCATTTCGTGTCCAAACTATCTATAGTGGTGCTTGATCGAGGAATCGGAAGCCGGCTCAAAATACCGAGCTATGTGGACTTGGGAATGATTCACGGCGGTGGTGATGCCAACTCCAAACCACCGGGGGACGTTTTAGCTAGGTAGAACAACCAATCAGGCTCGAGCAAGACAATCGAAGTCGAATGTGGCAGACCTGCCGCCAAGATGACAACCCTGAACATCAAGAACAGACGCCTTTTCCCCGTCTTTCCTCCATATCATGCCACGGGGGAGGCTTGGAAGCGCCCGCTTGTTCCGCCGCCCGGGGGTAAGCCATCATGGGCGAAACGCGACGGTGGGTACATTACCAGGCAGGAAAAACTATAGTCTAGACGGAAAGCACGGAACTACGAGCCCAAGTGTTGCGGACAGTTCCCATGAAAATACCAGTAATCGTCGTTGTGGTATTCGCTCTCGACGACACGTAACTCAGTGATAACGTCTGACGTCCAGCCAGGGCCGGCCGTGAAGATCGAAAGTAGCTAATGTTGTCGTCCTTACGTACGCATACACGCATGGATGATCCATTCGTACATGCAAACACACGCAAACAACACGGAAGGTGAGTATGGATACATGTGTAGTTTGAAGTTGATGGGATGGATGGATGATCTTGGTGGGGCGTCAAACGTTCGACAACAAGAAGAAGGAGCAGATAGAGGCGAAGAAAAGGTGGCATCCCTCCTGCAAAGACAGTCGGATCCAAACATCGTTCTCGCCGTTCGTCGGTTCCCGGCCCTCGTGTAGATAGATTATTCACACCACAAGAGAGGGGTCAGCAACCGGATGCTGTCCTGTGCTATAAGTCGGTCCCATCGAAACAGACGTAAGGTTGGGCAATATCCCATCGGGCAAGATACGTCTCACCTGTGCCGACATAGTCAACCTATATCTTCAGAGTCGGCATTTTGTAAGCAATCGAACGTATCACACATCCTAACAAGCAGCTCCAACTTCCCGAAAGCTCCATTCCGACCCCCCCATGGCATCCATATCGCATCCAGTATCCATAGCAAGCTCCATTGTCAACATATCAGGTTCACCACTCACAGTGGGTGGCAATAGGCAAGGGATATGGCTCAAGATCTTTGCTTCGCCTGGCGGTATCGAGTGACACCTGGACAAACGCCATAGGAAGAGGCGTTTGCCTCCAGGGCCAGACGCCATGGATGCTGGCCGCTCCAGCAGGCTGGGTCGGGAGGCATCTTGGTCTGTCTGATTCCCGACCATGTCAGCCTGCGCCCTGCGGATACCCGCGACCATGCGAAGTATCCATCATCGTGTTTCGAGAACCGGTGGGGACGACCGCCCGTAACACCCCCCCACCATCGACCGTGGTACACGGCTATGCTAAAAGGACGGGCATTCCGGTCCCCCCGACCCAGTTGTTCTCCCGCTTCTTACAATAGTTAGTCCGCCAAGACATAAGCTAGCGAAGGGAGTCCCGACCTTGGACCGGGAGAAGGTGATCTTGACTGTCGTGGACCATGAGACGGCGATCGTGGGTCCCATCCACTCTCCGTCGATCGGTACGATGACGGCGATGAAAATCATTCCGGCCGCGTGAGATTCCGCATGGCCGTCCACTGCCAGGACACCCCCCCAGACTGCCAGGCAGACAGTCAGCAGGCTCGAGGCAGTGGCGTACGGGTCAATTGCGACTCACGCAGAGAGAAGGGTGGGCAGCCACGCCCACGCCAACGTCCATCTCTCGCTTCGTGGGTTCCTCCCGGTCGCCGTCGAGGTACTCCACTCGCCAGAAGGGGTCGCAAACGTCGAAGACGGTGGCCTTGAAAACCTTGGGTTGGCCCCCGCTGTCGACAAATTCGCGGCCCACTTGCGTGTCCGCTGGGAAGAGCCGCAGGGCGTGTTCCCGTGACTCCACTTCACGTGCGCCCCGGGGTAGGTGGGTCCGGCAGGTCGTGGTGTAGCATCCCCACCATGATTGACCTCATACGCCGCGTGAAAGAGGTCGAGTTGGAGGGGAGAGAAGCTGTCGCTCGTCTTGTCTTCCGTGAGCCAAGGCGACAGCTTGCCGTCTTGGAAGCGGCCCTGATACTCCCAAGACCATGTCGAGGTGCCGCCGGTACCGTGCACGACCTTCCTGTCCAAAAGCGTGTACAGGGGGGCCGTGGGGAGAGAGATGTCGGCGAGGCCGAGGTCGGCAGACCACACGAGGTGTGCATACTCGTCCTCGAACGGGAGCCGGAGGTGGAGGGGTCGTGCATGGTACATCTTGACATCGGCGGCCGCGACTCGGCGTTGGCGCACCCGTCGCCCGTTCAGTCGGACCTTGAAGCTCAGGCGGTCGCGGATGACGTGGGTGACCTTCCACGGGCCGGTGTAGTGCTCGTGCGCCAGCTTCGGGTGGTTGCTGTCGCGATGGAGAGTGCTGCTCGCCCCCTTGACTAAGACGAGCCTTCCGACTACGGCCTTGGCACCCGGCGACTCCCGCGCCAATGCTGGCGTTGCGGCGCGGCCGTTGCCGGTTTTGGGCTTGATGGCGTCGTTTGAGGATTTCTTACGTCATGCGTTGTTGGCCCGAAATCGTCCTCAAGTCCTTGGCCAAAGGAGTTGTTGTCCAGGGCTTGGGTCATGGCGTCGATGTAGCTACGCTACGTCCGACCAAAGAGTACTCGGTATGGTGATGCCCCCCCAGGGAGAGACACGTCTAGCGTGACCCGATGGATCCAGGTGGCGACAGGGACGAAGTCGTCCCAGCGCTGGAGCCATGAAGTGCACAGCTGGGTCAGGGTCTCGTGGAGCCAGCCTCCCAGCCTCTCGACCGCTCCCTGTGCCCACGGGCGGTTCGTTCGGCCGTAGTTCAGCGATACGCGGAGCCAGCGACAAAGGTGCTTCATCACGCCCGCCGTGAACTCGCCTCCGAGGTAGCATCGGATCGAGAGCGGCAGCCCGAACGTGAGGAGGAGTCCCAGCCGTTTGCGGCTGACACCGACTGCTTCCTTCGACAGCAGGGGGAAGGCGGTGAGGAACTTGGATGCTCTGTCAACGAGGACGAGGAAGTACCGATTACCGTTGTCGGATAACACCTTCGTGTCCTGGGTGTTAATCTCGACAACTTCCCACGGCTGAAGGAGTCAGGCCGGCACCATGGCGAGCTGCTTGCTCTATGCCCGTTTCCGCCGGCGGCATTTGCCGGACAGGACGTAGGCGCGGACGTCTCTCTTGAGGGTGGGGCAGTGGTACCCCTCTCGATCAGCATCATCGTACGCGCGGTCCCCGGGTGGCCGTATGTGCCGTG